CAGAAATTTTCCTTATGAAGAAAAAATTGAAGGGCTCTTAAAATTACATTTCCCTTTTTAGCGAAGAATGAGGGGAGACCTTGGGTTTGAAGTGTTTAAATGGAAGTAGGTATTAAAAAAAGGGGGTATTAAAAAGGTCTTTTAGGATGTCTCTCCAAGAGAGACCCCGCAGTATGGATTTAAAAATTTGATAAGTTTTGATTTAGAAAAGGGCATCGGAAAAATATTTGGGTTTTGGGAAAAAGGGGTGTTGATGAGGGGGAACATTTACCTAAATTGGGTTTATTGAGGCTGGGACTTTGGGTAAATTTCAAATCTAGGGGTTTGGGTAAGGGCATGAGTGGGGATGGGTTTGGGTTGGGGTGGGGGCTTTCACTCAGAGCTTATTTCTTGGGGTGGCATTTAAAAATTTTGGGGGGGCAAAAGTTTTGTTAGTGGGATTTAATTGTAAAAGGGGGGGCCCGGCCCCGTATGGGCCAGCAGGCCTCCCGCGTGTTCCTCCTTTCCCTTTTGGGCCCTTTTGTTCTTATGTTAATTTGTGCCCTCCCCCTGCCCCGGTACCAAACATTAAAATAGCAGGGTTTTGTCTTTTTTAAGCGTAAATTTATTGGTGTCATCCAAGTCATATTTTGATCAGCTCCCCATTTAAAAATGGTGTTGAGGGTGGCAAAAAAATTTGGGTGAGAGATGAAATAAGTCGTGTCGTAGCCCAAAAAGAATGGGGTTTAGTTTTTGAGATTTCGTTTTTGGGGGATCATTTATGTATAAAGAGGAAAGGCAGGGGGCCAAGGGCACTTCCCTGGGAAAATCCAGTATCAAGTGGCCTGTGTTGTTGATGCTTTTCTTTAAAGGTGAAATACTGATACCTATTTGTTTAAAGGGAGATTTGAAATAAGCAAGGCGGGGCCCCTTTTTTCCATAAAGGGGCAAATTTTTGGAGTAGGAAGCCCTTTTAAATTTTTTGGGGTTTCTGTTTTTAAAAGCTTTTTTAGGTCAATAAAAATTCCCGTGGATATTTTCCCTTTTTTCCAATGCTGTGTTTAAAACAGATCCATTTCTAAACCCCAAATTGTCGTATTTATTACCAAAGGGGTTTTTGCCAATATTAATAATAATAAAAATAAAATTGATAATAATAATAATAATAATAAAAATAATAATTAAAAAATAATTTAATTTTAAAAATAAAGTTGATAATTTAAAAATAATAATGAGCAGTGGGAGGCGACGTCTAGGACTTGAGGGAAATGACATTCAGATGCAGTGGACACTTTTATTGACAAAATTTCGCCCACCCAGTTTACCTGGAGTTTTAAATGGGGAGTTCCGGGGGGCAACGCCCCCCCGGGGCCCGGGCTGGGGACCAGGCCCCCCTTGGGGGATCAGGGGCCCTGATCCCAAAAGGGGTGTTGCTGGGCGGGACGCAAACCAACCTACGAGCTACAGCCCGGTTGATCAGGAAAATGACTTTTGGGGCTTTGTCCCGTGCCAGGGTTGAAGCGGGCCAAAGGGGGCGTTGGTAATCCCCCTTTTGTGTGCTGGGGGGAAATTTTAAAAGTCTTGGGCCCTGAACTTATTGTTTTGGTCTCTTAAAGTGCTAGTTGGGCACCCCTGCTTTTCATTGGGGGGGGTGGGGGCATCGTCGCCAAAATCTTTTGCTTTCTTTTTTTTGGGGATTTTCGTGGCAAGTTCGGTACTAGTCCCTCTAGGATTTTCCCGGGTTTATAATCATTTTATCTCTCCCTCCTTCGTTCCAGGGGAAAAACAGGTTTAGGGGAAAACCCCAAGCGCTCCCAAAATTTAGGTGTTTTATTCCCCTTATGCGCGCCGTGAAAGTTCTCTGTACATTTTCTAGGTCGGCAATTTCACCTGCCTTGAAAGGTGCTGTTAGTGTGCAGCAATATTCCAGCCTAGATAGAACAAGTGACCTGAAGAGTGTCATCATGGGCTTGGCCTCCCTAGTTTTGAAGGTTCTCATTATCCATCCTGTCATTTTTCTAGCAGATGCGATTGATACAATGTTATGGTCCTTGAAGGTGAGATCCTCCGACATGATCACTCCCAGGTCTTTGACGTTGGTGTTTCGCTCTATTTTGTGGCCAGAATTTGTTTTGTACTCTGATGACGATTTAATTTCCTCATGTTTACCATATCTGAGTAATTGAAATTTCTCATCGTTGAACTTCATATTGTTTTCTGCAGCCCACTGAAAGATTTGGTTGATGTCTGCCTGGAGCTTTGCAGTGTCTGCAATGGAAGACACTGTCATGCAGATTCGGGTGTCATCTGCAAAGGAAGACACGGTGCTGTGGCTGACATCCTTGTCTATGTCGGATATAAGGATGAGGAACAAGATGGGAGCGAGTACTGTGCCTTGTGGAACAGAGCTTTTCACCGTAGCTGCCTCGGACTTTACTCTGTTGACGACTACTCTCTGTGTTCTGTTAGTGAGGAAATTATAGATCCATCGACCGACTTTTCCTGTTATTCCTTTAGCACGCATTTTGTGCGCTATTACGCCATGGTCACACTTGTCGAAGGCCTTTGCAAAGTCTGTATATATTACATCTGCATTCTTTTTTGTCTTCTAGTGCATTTAGGACCTTGTCGTAGTGGTCCAATAGTTGAGACAGACAGGAGCGACCTGTTCTAAACCATGTTGCCCTGGGTTGTGTAACTGATGGGTTTCTAGATGCGTGGTGATCTTGCTTCTTAGGACCCTTTTCAAAGATTTTTATGATATGGGATGTTAGTGCTATTGGTCTGTAGTTCTTTGCTGTTGCTTTACTGCCCCCTTTGTGGAGTGGGGCTATGTCTGTTGTTTTTAGTAACTGTGGACGACCCCGTGTCCATGCTCCCTCTCCATAGGATGGAAAAGGCTCGTGATAGGGGCTTCTTGCAGTTCTTGATGAACACAGAGTTCCATGAGTCTGGCCCTGGGGCAGAGTGCATGGGCATGTCATTTATCGCCTGTTCGAAGTCATTTGGCGTCAGGATAACATCGGATAGGCTTGTGTTAATCAAATTTTGTGGCTCTCTCATAAAAAATTCATTTTGATCTTCGACTCTCAGTCTGGTTAGCGGCTTGCTAAAAACTGAGTCATATTGGGACTTGAGTAGCTCACTCATTTCCTTGCTGTCATCTGTGTAGGACCCATCTGTTTAAGTAGGGGCCCAATACTGGACGTTGTTCTCGATTTTGATTTGGCATAGGAGAAGAAATACTTTGGGTTTCTTTCGATTTCATTTATGGCTTTTAGTTCTTCCCGCGATTCCTGACTCCTAAAGGATTCTTTTAGCTTAAGTTCGATGCTTGCTATTTCTCTGACCAGTGTCTCCCTGCGCATTTCAGATATATTGACCTCTTTTAGCCGCTCTGTTATTCTTTTCCGTCGCCTGTAAAGGGAGCGCCTGTCTCTTTCTATTTTACATCTACTCCTCCTTTTTCTTAGAGGAATAAGCCTTGTGCATACATCGAGTGCCACCGAGTTAATCTGTTCTAGGCATAAGTTTGGGTCTGTGTTGCTTAGTATATCTTCCCAGCTTATATCGGTTAGGACTTGGTTTACTTGGTCCCACTTTATGTTTTTGTTATTGAAGTTGAATTTGGTGAATGCTCCCTCGTGACTAGTCTCATTTTGTCGGTCTGGGGCTCCACGCATACATGTCTGAACCTCAATTATGTTGTGATCTGAGTATATTGTTTTTGATATGGTGACATTTCGATATGGTGACAACATTTCGCCCACACAGTGACGACAACATTTCGCCCACACAGTGGGCTTTATCCAGATAGTAGAGAATACACGAAAAAGAGGAGTGTAAATATGACAGTATCTGTGAGGTAGGGAGGCCTGCAGGGTATACACCGTACACACTTCTGGGTGTACACTACAAGACGTACGCCGTGTGCACGGCGCCAGGAGCTTGGACTCAACCCTTGCAACCTCAACTAGGTGAGTACTGAACTATTTATAGGCTACTTGACGCCTACATAACTTACGTAGTAATAGACGAGTAACATCTTAGTGTCATTATTTCCCGGTTCTTCATTGTCTGTATAAAAAACTGACATTTAATATTTACCACTTATTTTAAATCAAGAATAAGAATAGTCGAGGAGTGTTGAATAACTAAGTGTTGGTAGAGTATACTGACTGTGTAAATAAGACATGCAATGCGGTTTACGGCAGTTAGTAAAGACGTGCTCTCCATCAGCGACTTTTATCACATCCAGGAAAAAAAGGTCACACGGAAAAAAGTCACAGGAAAAAATCACAGAAAAAAGTCACAGCGTAACCTAAATAAAATGTGACTTTTTTCCGAGCCAAAATTGTGACTTATTTTCGTGTGAATTTTTTCCGGGCGGCATTTTATCAAATCTGTAAATTCCTTTTTAATTGAAAATTGTGACCGACTTTTCCTGGGGGTTTTTACCTTTGAATTTTTGGGGTTATTCCCTTTTAAATTGTAGTTCTTACCCTTTTTAAATTGTGAGTTCATTACCTTGTAACTTGCTCAGCTATCAAAACTTTGGAAGGTATCCCGGAAATTTGACCTCTGTAATCTTTTGACTAAAGCCCCCAGGATGGGGGGGGGATAAAAACAAAAAAAAAAGGAGAAAGTTTAATTAAAGGTTTTAGAAGGTTTTAAAATTTTTGGGTGGCATAAAAATAAAACCCAAGGGAAGTTTTTCATGGGCCAGTAAGGTTAAAGCCCCAAAAGTGGGTATGGAATTTTGGGATGGGGTTTAAGCAGCGAATGACTTCATGTTTATATTGTCCAAAAGCCTTTTCTGTGTAATTTTTCAGTAATAGATGTTTGTACTTATAATCCCCAGGAAAATTCCGAGTTCTTCAAAACGAAAATCCCGCCTCTACTATGAATATCAAAATGGTATATAAACCCGACAGGGTGGTAGGTAAGACACATAGGCAACTTTATTCCAAAACGTTTCGCCTACAGTAGTAGGCTTCTTCAGTCGAGTACAATGGCATCTTGGTACAGAAGAGAAAACACCTTGGACAACTTTTTCATGTGAGAATTGTTTGATCCGAGAGGGACGTGACCTCTCAGTGGCTACATTCTCACTACTACTACTCTGCACCTCTCCTTCCGACAGTATTTAAGTCTCAACACTGTCGCTTGATCTTCAGTTAGTTCCAGACTTTGGAATAGAACTTCTCAGGCTGAGGGACTGACAACCTCAAATCTACGACTTCAAGGGTGATGGACTGATAACGTCGTCTTCACATCTCTACTGTTCCTGCCTACTTTCTGTACTCGACTGAAGAAGCCTACTGTGTAGGCGAAACGTTTCGGAATAAAGTTGCCTATGTGTCTTACCTACCCGCTTCTACTATACTCGTAAATAATAAAATGCATCGGAAGATATGAAGAAGTAACTCACATTGTGATATGACGATTTTGTGTGATAAATGGTTTAGAAAACGGATAAGCTGAAGAATTAAACACTTTTGCAACATTTGGAATTTAATTGTGGAAATGTTTCGCCAACAAGTACCTTCCTCAGTTCCTCGCTCCTTTCCTAAGGTTTAGTGCTTCATTTTATAATAATAATAATAATAATAATAATAATAATCCTTCCCTAGCAAGGGGACGACAGCTGAATCTTTAATGAAGATAGGGAGAAGGGGTGCCTTGATGATGATAAAAAAAAAGCTCTTGGAAGTGTCCTTCCCTTCCTTGTCACAAACTTTAGAGCCTCCCATTCCCAAGGCGCCGTATGGTCCTCAACGGTTCCCAATAAATACTCGTACAATAATGATGACAAAGAGCGGTTGCTCACCAGTGAGCTGCCTATCAGAAGCTAACACCCACCTTAAGACACATTTTCCCAGGCCTATCAAAGGCTAACACCCACCTTAAGACACATTTTCCCAGTCCTATCAAAGGCTAACATCCACCTCAAGACACATTATTCCTTGATGAATACCTCACCACCAACTCTGAATATTACTGTTATGTCTGATAACACACAAACACGTGTAGCAGCGATGTCATATCTCCTAAAGGAGAGGCCCGCCACCTCTGGCCCTTTCCTGGATGGCCGCCATGCCCCGGAGAGCCTCTGCATTGAGGGAGTCACATTCCAAGACCTTCTGGTACTGCAGCGACGCCTGCAGAAAGTCGCCCTCCTGGTAGAGCTGTCGTGCTCGAGACACAAGCTTCTGCATCTCGCTTGTGGAGAGTGTGGGAGCAGCATTGACTCTGCTCCCCACGGGGCACACTGTAACACAAATATTGAATAAAGACCCAGACATTACATCCTCTGCCGAACACCCTTATATTGTAACAGTGTTTCCATCTATTTATATTTAAACACATCACAGCGTGGTCCCAATAAGGATTATTTTGAAGAATGTTTTTTTTTTCATTATTTTCGGCAGCAAGTCATTAAAGCCCAGTACATAACGTCAACAATACAGTCTTGTCACATGTTACTGCAGTACAATGAATAATAAGGAGGACATTATTAAAAGGTTCATAACATGTAGAGTGATCTAGGAATATATTACAGGTAAGAGGAGCTAAACTAGGATACCTGCATCTAACTACCTCGTCTCTCCCACCCCAGCAATCATCCCAGCCTTTCCCTTCCATTTTCCCTCTCAGATTCTCTCTCACTCTCTCTGAAACATAAACACATGCACAGATTTCCAGCTGTGCCCTTCGTGTACCAGTTTTCCGCCTGTTTCTATCCATCTATCAATTCCTATCAGTACTATGCACGTCGTTATCACGTCTCTCTGGTCCTTCCGTCTTCCATGTTATCAGTTTTACTTCCTTTAGTTTCCTTCAGAGTTCATACCTCTTCGCTTTGGGTTTAGTCTCCCTGAAAACCTCTGCACTTTTTTTCCGGTTTCTTAAAATGCTTCATAGGGTCTGGGTCTCACACTGGTGCTGTGCACTCTAAAACAGGACTGACATAGGTCGTACTGAGTGTCGTGAATGGTGCTATCTTGAGATTCTTGCAAGGTAATCTTAGATTTGCAAGGTAATCTTAGATCTGCAAGGTAATTTTAGATCTGCAAGGTAATCTTAGATCTGTAAGGAAATTTTATATTTTCAAGGTAATTCTAGAGTTTCAAGGTAATCCTAGATTTGCAAGGCAAACCAAGATTTACAAGGTAATCCTAGATTTGCAAGGTAATCCTAGATTTTGTAAGGTAATCCTAGATTTGCCAGAAGCTCATTTTCTGAAGAGGTAATCAGGTTGATGTCAGCTTCATGCAGTACATCGGTAGTATACTCACCCCGAGGTCCATCTCCTTGAGTGAGGTTTGCAGTTTTATCCCCAGAACCTACACTCCGTTCCCGGCCTTTTCGCCTTCCACAACTTTCATAACCTTGCATTTGCTGGGGTTGATTTTCAATAACCACTCAGATGAATTATGCAACTTATGCAGATCTTTTTGTAGACATTCCTTGTCTACTTCGTTCACGTACACCAGGAATAGTACAGAGAGTACCGATCTTCGAGGAACCCGGTCTATCACACTTGCGCACTCTGACACCTGTTTATCCAAACATCAATCTCTCTTACCTTCCTGTTAGGTATTCCTTGATCCGTTGTAGTGCTTTCCCTGTTATTCCTGCCAGTTTCTTAAGCTTTTGTCCTAGTCTCTTGTGTAGAATATAACTTTGGTATATCTGTGTCTAGCATTAGGAATAATATTAGGAGAGAAGTAAATAATGAAAATTATTTTTATAAGAATGCAGTTAGAAGCCTGAGTAGATCTATAATCCACTGTAACATGAACGTAGATAATTATGTTTATGGAGCAACTTGCAATGTGAACACTGACTAATATTGTAGCGGCCAGGCTTAGGCTTGGTTACAAGTACTGACTGATGTTGTAGTGGCCAGGCTTAGGCTTGGTTACAAGTACTGATTGATGTTGTAGTGGCCAGGCTTAGGCTTGGTTACAAGTACTGACTGATGTTGTAGTGGCCAGGCTTAGGCTTGGTTACAAGTACTGATTGATGTTGTAGTGGCCAGGCTTAGGCTTGGTTACAAGTACTGACTGATGTTGTAGTGGCCAGGCTTAGGCTTGGTTATAAGTGCTGACTGATGTTGTAGTGGCAAGTCTTAGGCTTGGTTACAAGTACTTCTGGCAGTTTGGGAGAGACAGATGATGATCAAACTAAATGCAAATTATGTGATCAAACATATGGTCACTGTCTTGAACACTATGTGCTTAATTGTCCACTTATTGAGGAATACAGAGATAGACAATATAATAACCTATGTGACATGTTAAGATATCTTATTAATAAAAATAAGGCACCAGATATACTAAGCAAATTTCCTAAATTTGCATGTAACAGATAAATGAACTGTAGATATGTAGATAAATAAAAACCCATATGTACACCTGTTAACCCTTTTGGGGCCTAGTTCCTAGGCCTTTTGTGTATCCATATGCTCTTGCGCTACCGTCCACAGGATGGATATGGGGTGCACAATAAACTAGCCACTTCGGTGGCAAAATCTAATCTTGTGCAGCACTGTGTCTAAAGTCTTCTTACAGTCTAAGAATATGCAGTCCACCCATCCTTCTCTCTGCTGCCTCAGTTCTCTTACTTTGTCATAGAACTTTAACAGGTTTGTGAGTTAATATTTACCATCTCTAAACTGTATAGCTATTGTTTGGAACCCCACTCCAAACCGGTGCTCAACCACTCCTTTGGGGCCTATCCGAACTCCAGTGAGGAAAATTGCAAGTATACAAAACCAGCATGCAAGGGAAACCCTTTTAGTGACTGAAAAACTGACGGTGCGAAAAACAAAATGGAAAAATATGAAAAAAAGAGGGTGGCATTCAAGTACCAGACTGCTGCCAGACGGAACCAGCATGAGACGTTTTCCACTACATGAAAAAAACTGACCTCCTTATAAACTGCACCAGTTTTCCCGGGAAGAAAAACATGGAGAAAACCCTAACAACAAAAACTCCAAGGAAATTTAAAGGTCTGTGGACTTTTTTCCCTCGGTGCCAAACGAGGAAAAAAAATTGAGTATTTAAACATGGCTGGGGCGGCATCCAAAACACCCGCTACTGCCAGGGCGTACAACTAGCGAAGGAAATTTCTCTTTACTGACAGCCCGGCTGATCGGAACTGACTTTTGGTGCTTGTCCGTGCTTGTGGTGTGTGTGGTGTGTGTGTGTTGTGTGTGTGTGTGGTGTGTGGGTGTGTTGTGTGTGTGTGTGTGTGTTTGTGTGTGTTTTGTTTTGTGGTGTTAGTTACCATTTTGTCCCCAGGCACATGTCGATTAGACACTAGGTGTTGTATTTGTAGTGTGTGTGTGTGTGGTTTTGGGTGTGTGTGTATGTGTGAGTGTGTGTGTGTGTATGAGTGGGGGTGTGTGTGTACTCACCTATTTGTATCACCTATTTGTGGTTGCGGGTCGAGTCTTGCTCCTGGCCCCCCCTCTTTACGGTTGCTCTTCCCGGTATGAGTGTGTTGGGGTGTGTGTGATGAGTTTTGGATGGTGTGGTGTGTGTTTATGTGTGTGTGTGTGTGTGTGTGTTAAATTTGTATATATGTGTGTGGGGGTGTGTGGTGTGTGTTTTGGTTGTGTGTGTGGTGTTGTGTGTGTGTGTGTGTGTGGACTAACAATCAATTTTGCACCCCAAAAATCATTAAGTTTGACCGGGTGTGGAAGTGGAAAATTTCTCATTACATATAATTTGTTCTGATTGTAGCCATGTATAAACGTAAGTAACCATTCTTACAGTATTCATTACCTTTGTAACTTGTGAGTTCATTACCTTGTACCTAGTTCAGCCATCCAAACTTTGGGGCCCAGTCCCTGGATCCATTACGTACCTTTGTAATCTGTAAATACCTTTGTAACTTGTCATGATTGTGACTAGACCTACCCGGAGTTCATTACCTTTGTAATTTGTGAGTTCATTACCTTTGTAAATTGTGAATTCATTACCTCTGTAACTTGCTCAGCTATCAAAACTTTGGAGTCCAGTCCCTGGACCAATTATGTACCTCTGTAATCTTTTGACTACCGCCCACAGGATGGGTATGGGGTGCATAATAAACATATTAAACTATATACTGACGTTCATCTGTACTGACAGTAGCATCATGTCTGCACCACCATCATATCACCTGTACCAGTGCTAACGAGAGATAAACACAGGAGACATCGTCAAATCAACAATACAAAACTCCAAGGTTATAGGGCAGTTATCCCTCAGTGACAGTCGTGGGAAAGAAGTGAATAGTTAAACAGCCAAGGTTAATGTTTTAGTAGCTGACCTATGTTCAGCTGACTAGTGTACAGTGAGAGAATCATAGCAGAAAACGCCAAATATATCTATAAACTCAAGGAAAGTCAGGTTGTAGGTGGCATTTACTTCCCTCAGTGTTTTAAAAATGGCTGACTGAGTCTGCAGACCAGGTCAAGCCAGTCAACAACACGATCACACCCCCACTACAACCCCCCCCCACCGATAAATGAATTGAGGGGTTTGGAAGATTTAAAACCATTTATTAAACCTTTTGGTCTACCAGAATGGAAAGGAATTAGAAGTTAATAGGATGAAAGCCGACTGTGAAGTTGAGGCGGAAGGGGGAGTGTGTAATAAGGGGGTTAACACTGAAAGGGGGTTTGTGAAGTTAAGGGAAAAGTGAGCAGTGAAGAGGGTTTTGAAGAGAAAATTTTACTAGTAATTCAGTGGTGATTGCTAAGCAGATACTAAGTGTACTAGGGACTGGAAGGAGAAAATAAATATTATTGTATATGAGTAAGTAAAAAGAGCGAAGAGTGAAAATGGCGGCCATTAGGGGGTCACGGGCACAGGCTGCATAATTATTATTTATCTTTCTTCAATTCCATGAAGAAGGAAATCAGTCATGGGGGCTGGAAAAAGTCCCCCCCCCCCCCCCCCCCCGAATGGAAGTACCAGTGCCCTGGGACAGTAAAAGCCAACAGTTGGACCATCCAACCAGAAAAAGTAAATGTCCACTATGCACAAGGTTTGCAACACCGCATACCAAACGAAAACAGAGGCACACAGCTCTTATTGTAGCGCTTCTTAAGTGGTGATATCCAAATAATCCAGGACCTCAAATATTGTGCAGAGGCAAACAGACAGTATAAATGCGGTGATAAGAACAGTCTAGTAGCTAGGAATGATACCTTAATCATATGTAATGCATACATAGTCAATGTGAGACCCCAATACAGCAATTATTATCTCAAACACTACCAAAACAGGTGCATACACCTTGTACTAAGTACGCATGAAAAACAAAAAAAGGCAACTTATGTAAAAAATGTGTAAGGGGGGTGGGTGCATGATGGGATGTTTACTGGAGTTTACCTGGAGAGAGTTTCGGGGGTCAAAACGCCCCCGCGGCCCAGGTCTGTTGACCGGGCCTCCTGGTGGATCAGCGCCTGATCAACCAGGCTGTTGCTGCTGGCTGCACGCAAAACCAACGTACGAGCCAAGCCGGCTGGCTGATCAGGAACTGACTTTAGGTGCTTGTCCAGTGCCAGTGAAGACTGCCGGGGTTGTTGGTAATCCCCCCTTATGTGTGCTGGGAGGCAGTTGAAACAGTCTTCGGGCCCCTGACATTTTTGTATGGTCTCTTAACGTGTAGTGAC